CCCACTTTTGTCCGAGAAAGGGGTGGGTATACCCACTTTTGTCCATTTCCCAAAGAAAAACATGGGAAACCAGATGATACAAAATGAGTGTTGTACCTCTACCACCTCCTCGAGAAATCAGTGAGGCTCAGTGGGAGACAAGCAGGATGTGTGGGGTACTTGGATACAATATTCGAACTGCAGAGTATGCGTGTGGAGGGGGTATGCTATTGAGGGGGTCCCTCGTGAGCGCCCGCACGTGCGTGTGTTTACTCGGGGAGCGAGTCTGTGCTGGGAGAGCACGCGTGTGTGTTAATCAAGGTTGTATGTCATCGGCATCGGTCCTGGGTTAACATAGTTCCCCGGCATTCATAATACCGTGGGTGGGCACGGTGCCGTGCGTGGGCACGGCAACCTCCGTGGGCGTGGGTGGTCACGAGGGTATACAAACACGATTATCGTATTTAACCGATGGCGGAACAAGAAGCTGCAGCGAGGACAGCCGCTGAGGAGGCAGCCTTAGCTGAAAGAGATGAGATCAAAGAGACACTGAAAGTCGCGTTGGAGAGGATCGCGTCATTGGAGGCTTGCCGAAGGTCAGCCGGGGGTCAACCTGGTCATGCTGGGTGGGCAGCTGCAGGAGGAAGAGGTGTGTAGGTCGTGGATAGGCCCGGCGGCGGTGGGCTTGATGAAAGGACAGCCCTCTGAACGAAGAAGAGAAAACCACCCGTCAAAGATGGCAACTTCGCCGTCTCCCAGCAATTGATTGAGAACTTTAGGTCGGGCGAGGGTCTAGCACATATCCTACTGGAATCCACGTACCCGGTGAAGCTAATCAACGGTCCACCCAGGAGGGAGCTGCTTAATATGCATGGTGATGACCTGGTGGACCAAAACGAGCGTGCTTTGCACATCCTGACCGAGTCATTTGAAAGATGCTCCGTTCTTCAGTAAGCTGCTAACGAGTGATGGGTTGGTTGAACGCGCCTGGCGCGAGGCTATTCGCTGCTGCCTGACGTCGGACGAAGCTGGGAGGGAGGCTCTCAGGACGACACTGACCGAGTACAAGATTCGTGTTGGGCTGGACCCGCTTGCCTACTTCGTGGGCTTCAACAAGATCTGAACGACCTGGTTGCTGCTGGAGCCGACATGTCGGAAGAGGAGATTGTTGCGCTACTTCGCCGCAACCTCTCCTCCGACTTTGACACGGAGAAAAAGTCCCTTCTCATGGCTGCTGGGATGACTCGCGCAAGGTTGAAGGACATGGTATACTGCGCGCACCGCGAGCGCGATTTCGGCAGCGCATCCCGGCAGCCCGCGGTGTCTGCTGACCCACAAGCTCTGCCTTTCAATGGTGGCGGAAAGCTTCGGAGGAACAATGGCGGTGGTCCCGATGGCAACGCGAGCGGGAGGCAATGCGGATTTTCCCGAAGTCAACAGCAGTACAGCAGCCGAGAGGCTCAGTATGGTCAGCCTGGACTCGGGGGATATCGCCAGCAGCAGCAGCAGTACCAGCATCAGCCGCACCCATCTTACCAGCACACTTAGCTTCAGGCACCGAGTCGCCAAAGGCAGCAGACCTCTTCCCCAACCAAACGGTTTGGCTATTTGCCCCGACGGATCCTGGGAGAAACGCCACTTGGCCGCAAATACAATCTCCCGTTCCGCCGGGCGCTCAAATGGGCGAGGTGTATCAGTGTACGCGGTACGGGGATCACGGGCATGAGGCCGACATCTGCATGGCGCCAACCCGCTACCACGGCCCCTGCAACTGCTGCGGGGAGATCGGCCATACTCAGCGGTACTGCCGTTTCAACCAGCAGCATCAGCAACAACCCGTGCTTTCGAGGCCCTATGTTCCACAGCAACCGGTGCAGCAGCAAATCACTATCACCCCCCAGCAGCTCCACCGGATGCCCCAGCAGCAGCAGCAGCAGCGGGGGCAGCCCCAATAGCAGCAGCGGCAACCCCAACAACAGCAGCAGCAGCAGCGCCACCAAGGACCCCACCCACCCCGTCCCCCCGCCAACTTCGCTTCCACGGCTGGTCCCACGCGTATTTCACCCCTCCCCTCCCCCATAGTTTGCCATCGGGATTGGGTTTTCGTCGCCTGGCAACGACGTTGTAAAACAACCCAATTCACTTCGTGAACTCGGCAACTAGGTTACCGTTTTTTTTTTTTTACCTCCGTTTTTTTTTTT